TGCATGTTTCAGCCAAAGAAGGTGCCCTGGGCACTGGAGAAATAGAGCAATGGACAGACTCCAGATAGAGTTTAGAGGTAGAAATAGAATTGACATGTTAGGGGAGATGAAAAGGAGTAATCAAGGATGACTGAGGGACTGGATAGTGTTCTTTTCTTTTCTTTTTTTCCTTTCCCCCTGCAATAAGAAAGATTGGCTTCAGAAATATAAATGAAGATTCCTTTCATCCATTTGTTTGTTTCCCAATCTTCAGATAACAGTGTATAGCTCCTAGCTCTACCCTTCACTGGCTACATATTCATTTAACTTGTAAATATTTATTGAGTGTACTATTCTAGCAAGGATGAATAAGACAAATGTGGAATTCACCTTCTAGTAAGGAGGCAGAAAAACAAGAGAAGTAAGATAAATTTCTTATAGTAATCAGTGATAAGAAGGAGACAAGTTGGACAATATAAGAGAAGGTTTAAGGATTAATAAGCAACTTTAAGGTGGTTGGGGAAGCTTCCCTGTTACAGATGATATATGAAGTGAGACCTGGAGTATGAGAAGAAGCCAGGAATGCAAATATTTTAATTAAAAAAAATTAAAAAATAATTTCAGGCAAAGGAAATAGCAAATACAAAAGGCCTGGGTTGGGAATGAATCTGACTGGGAATGAAATAGGTTCAGTGAGGCTGGAACCCACAGAGAAAGGGGGAAAGTAACACTTGAGAGGTTCAGAAAGATAAGCAGGGATATGTCATCTAGATCAGAGCTTCTTAACCTCTTTCTTCCATGGACTTCTTTGGATTTGAAACCTGTGGATTCTGTCTCAGAATGTTTTACACACATATAAAATATGAAATACATAGAATTAAGAAGAAAAGAATTATACTGAAACATAGTTCTATTCACACATCTCAGGGGGTCCACTGAACCCAGGTTAGATTCTTCGTGGCCATACTAAAGAGTTGGTATATTGTTTTAAGTAGACTAGGAAGTAATTGTAAAGTTTTAATCAAGGGACTAATGTAATATGGTTTATGCTTTCAAAGGATCATTTTTGTTACTGTATGTTGTTGTTGTTGTTATGTGCCTTTGAGTCAGCCCAACTCATAGTGACCCCTCCTTGGTCTTCCGAGGCAGTATCACTATGGAAGTAGATTGCCCCATCTTCCTTCCGAGAAGTGGCTGGTGGGTTTGAACCACCAGGCTTCTGGTTAACAGTCAAGTGCCTTAGCCACTATGTCACCAGAGTTCCCATGTTACTGTATGGAAACAGATTTTATGTGGGTAAGAGTGGAAGAAGAAGAAAAGTACTTAAGAGATGACCGAATTGGTGTAGGAAAGAGATGTTTGTAGTTTGACCTTAGTGATCATAGAGAAGGATGTTGTTGTTGCTGTTATGCACCATGGAGTCGGACCCAACTCATAGTGACCCATCCTTGGGTTTCTGAGGCAGTATCACTATGGACGTAGATTGCCCAATCTTCCTTTCGAGGAGTGGCTGGTGGGTTTGAACCTTCAGCCCTCTGGTTAGCAGTCAAATGCCTCAGACACTACACCACCAGAGTTCCTATAGAGAAGGATAGGGATGGCTATATCTGAATCAGTGTCACTTGGAATCTGCCCATAAAGGAACAAGCATCTCAAGCATAGAAGGAATAGGCTGAAAAAGAAGAGAAAGTAAATCAGGCTTTTTCTCTTCCCACTTCCTAAAGCCTCCCCTCAATCCTCTGAAAGTTTCTCTGTGGTATAGCAAACTCCTAAAAATTGTGACTTGTACTCCATACAATATGCAAGGAGATTTTATTATACTTACTTGAAGCAAATATATTTCCAGTAAACTTTAAAAGAAGTTGTTCTCCTTCTCTTAATTGGAAACGGCGAGATGGCTCTGGAGGTGCACTGAACCCTCCCAAATGCAAGCTCTTAAGTTCCTGGTTTAAATCTTTATAAGGCACCACTAAAATCACTATTCTGTGTGGATTGCCTTTCTGATGATTTAGTACTACACAGACAGTGGTGCTCAGTGTGGCTTCCTCTAACGATTTCACAAAAGAAACCAAGTGGCTGTTGTCCACAACAGAAGACAGGTGAAGTACAATAAACCTGTATAGGAAACAATACACACTTAACAACATCCTCCACTATCCAATTAAAAAAAGCCACTGTCATCTAAACTTTCTTCAAATTCAAGCATTTCGATGGCTCAGTGTTGAAATTTGTTTGACTTTAGGGAAACTCTGGGCAATTATAAATCCAGCTCAAAATAAATTAGGTTGTAAAACAATCATCAAACACAGAAATCGTATTATTTTAGGGCAGTTCTCAAACATCTTTAATTAGCATTTCATCATTGTTTGTTGCCACAGAGTTGATTCTGACTCATGGTGACCCCATGTGCACAGAATATAATATCCACAGGGTTTCAAGGCTGGGATATTTCAAAAGCAGATAGCCATGTCTATCTTCAAAGAACCTCTGATTCAATCTGTCAACCTTTTGGTTTAGCATTTAGTAAAAAAAATATATATATATGTGAAACTGTTCACTACACATTAGTAAGTAAGCACGAGTAATCCTGTGCTTACCTTGCTTGCTGGTTAAACTGCTCCTAATGTGAAGATTAACCAGCAAGCAATGTGAAGACAGGAACTCTGGTAGCATAGTGCCTAAGGCACTTGACTGCTAACCAGAAGGCTGGCGGTTCAAAACCACCAGCCACTCCTCGAAAGGAAGATGGGGCAATCTACTTCCATAGTGATACTGTCTCGGCAACCCAAGGAGGGGTCGCTATGAGTCAGGTCCGACTCGATGGCACATAACAACAACAACAGTGTGAAGACTGAAATAATAGTCTCTTAACACTGTCTGGTAAGGATGTTATAATGGACCCCTTTCCTGGAACGAACCACTCACCCCTAATTCTTCTCCAGAGAATTTCCCTTAACATATGGGAGTTCCTTTATCCAAGACAGCCATATACCTACAGCCAACCACAGAATAATGAGAGGTATAAAACCAGCTGCTTTGGTAGTGCTACTCAGCTAGAGTTTCTCTAAGGTATTAGGGTGGAATTAGGCTTCAGCTGATACCATATTTTTGCCTAATTTCTTCCCTTACCCTATTTGCTTCCTTCCTTCCCTTATAGGGCACCCTTCACTAAATCACTTACACAAACATTCTCATCTCAGATTCTGTTTCTAAAGGATCTGCTCTAACACAATTTCTGATGTAGATCTTCCATTATGAAATAAAAATGCTATCTTTAGACATATCATTGCCCTCTCTTTATGAGTGTTTATTCCCCACGAATCATTAAAACTCTTCTCATGATGGGCTGTCTGGAAAACATGGAAATGAGAAAGCAAAATGAGGGCACTGAAATAATGTTGAATTTTACATACTTAACTAGGAGATGAACATAATATAAACAGTTAATTATAATTGCCATGGAATTTCAGAAATGAAGGTACAGTTTAAAAAGTATTTGGGAGTTGGAGAAAGTCTATAAATATAAATCTAAGTTATGAGTTTTTTTCTAAAAGCATGTGTTAAACTATCCTGAATGAAATTGTAGTCAGCATATTCATACAATTCTAGTTTGCATTTTAAACACATCCTTAAGGACTCTTCATATTCCTATTTGAGGCATATAAATCTAGTCTTAGGATTCCAGTTTTGTAACATCAATTATGGACTATCAAGTTCTAATAGCATCAACTTTATTGCTTAGTGTTAACATTACCTCTCCAAATGTTCAAACAGTTCAAAAGATACCAAGCCACTCTGCATAGTTCTCACCACAACATTATCAAGACCAAACCAACCACCATCTCGGCTTCTGAATCCTAGTAGTTTCAAAGTCTCGCAGGCATTGCTCCCAGGTTTTCTTATGGAAACTCTTTTTGTCCTATATAATGGTAGTAGAAGAAAAATTGGTGAAATTCATGTAGCATAACTCATATTTAATACATTCATTCTTTTATTAAATGAATAATGCAGTAACAATTCATTAAGCAAGTACCACACACCAGTCATTATACTATGAACCAGGAATACAAAATAGAGAAATTCATAGTCCTTGCTCTACATAATCACAGAGTATTACAACATTCCTTTGACTACGAGCCATAGGTTGGATATTTGAACCAACCCATAGGTGCCTGGAACAGCATATCTAGCAATCTGCTTCCAGAAGACCACAGCCTTAAAAATGCGATTGAGCAGTTCTACTCTTCACACATGGGGTCACCATGAGTCAGAAGCAATTCGATGACAACTAACAACAACATCTAATTACAGCACAAAGTAATCCGTAGAGGAAAGCACAGTGGTTTATGGAAAGAAGTGAAGTGTTATTCAGGGAAGCTTACAAAGTGCAAATACTGATATTTGAGATGAGCTTTGGAGAAAGAGAAGCATTCTATTTGTGGTAGAAGATGTTAAAAGGAACACAAAAAAGACATGAACAAACTTGCTCATGTAAACCAGCATAGTCAAGAATAGTGTTATTGCTTAACAGTTAAAACTACAGGATCTGAAGCAAGATTATCTAGGTTCAGATCCTGGGTGGTTATATAATATGAGGCTAATAATAGTACCTACTATTAGGATTTAATGAGTTAAATATTTGAAAAGCACTTATAATTATATAGTGACCTGTGAGAACCTGAATTCAAGGACACTACCTTGTTTTTCTAAGGAGCTCTGGTGATGGAGTGCCTAAGGCTCTGCTAAGCAGAAGGCTGGTGGGTCAAACCCACCCCACCAGTCACTCCTCAGAGGAAGACTGGGCAATCTATTTCTGTAAAGATTTACCACCTAGGAACCCCAAAGGGAGTCACTATGAGTCAGAATTGGCTCGATGGCAGAGAGTTTGCTTTTTTTTTTTTTTTGACCTTGTTTTTTTGGGTCTCACAAGTTTTCCACCTTTGACAGGATCCAGTGTTACCACTTTCTATCACTTGTTTTAATGCAAAATATTTGAATTTTCCTTCTTTTACAAGTGTCTGCCTTGCACAGTTTCCAGCTTTCACAGGTTTTACTGTAGTAAGTATAAGTGGTATTAAGGAGCTTGGGTAGTGCGAGTAATTTGCAATCAGCTGCTAACCAAAGATTGCCAGTTCAAACTCAACCAACAGCTCCACCAAAGAAAAGAGCTGGTGATCTGCTTCCATAAAGTCTACAACCAAATTGCAACTCTGTCACATGGGATCTTCTTGAGTCAGGGGCCAACCTGACAGGAGCTAACAATAACATAAGTGGTATTCATACTCTCATGTTATTCCTACACCAGATGTATTAGCCAATACACTTTTCTTGCCCAATCCTTCTTGCTTAATCTGCCTTACTCAAAGGGCCTGAAAGAAGCAGTTGTATGTACCATGTGATAGTTTCCTCTAATCAGATCTGATTTAATTGGTAGTAGACCAATTTCTAAAATTTTATTCTTTCTTTGTTCTACCCCATATTTTGTCCAGAGTTTACTATATTGGTAAGCCTGTACCTCCCATTCAAATTCTTTTCTCCTTTATGGTGTCTTCTCTTGCCAGCTAACTTTAGAATGCCCACCTCAGCAGAAATATTTCTATATTGTTCTTCCTGGAACATGGGGTGGGTGTAAATGGGTAATGATTTCAGTCTCTTTCCTCTCAGGAGGTTCAGTTTCCTCTGTAGATTTTCTTCTACCCCAGGGAAGGAGCTCTGTTGGTATACTGCCTAAGGCATTTGCCTGCTAACCAGAAGGTTGGTGGTTCAAACCCACCAGCTGCTCCATGGAACGAAGACTGGGCTATCTACTTCCAAAAAGATTTACCACCTCAGAAACCAAAGGGGGTTGCTATGACTCAGAAAAAAAAAATGAATCAGAGTTCATATGTCATTTTTATTTAATTGCTTCACCATCTGTGTATCTTTCTTTCTTCTTTTTTCCTCAAAGCTGTAGATGAAAGTGATGTGCTCCAAGATACCTCAGTATTTTGTCCTTTCCAGTGAAAAGATATGTTACTGAGAACTTTTCTAGGGTAGTTAATTTTTTATTAAAAATAAAATGAAATTATTCCTCATTTGGTTTTCTACTTTATAGATAATAATATATGCTCTTAAGTACAATGGTGTATAATTTTTTTTAATTTCTAGTATACTATCACCAAGTTTAATAAATTAGAAGAATCATTTTTCTTAGTAAACATTTTCTTCAAAGTTCTGTTAAATGTGGTCTGTCTGTGATGAGAATACTTATTGATCAACACAAAGGAAAATGTGGAGTGTATGATTTTACTGTTTAATATTATGATTTCATTTTTAAGTTTGATTTCTAAAGTATCATAAATTTAATATATAAAGCACAAAGGTATAAATAAAAATTTGAGGATAAATAATATGAGGGCTCTCTCTCTTTAATCAGAAAAGCTAGAATCTTACAATCTTGCTTTTGGATACATATTTTCACTATGAGGACAAATTCCTTTCAGCACCGGTAATTTATATATAGGAGCATGCAACTGTAGGTGATAATCAAGTGAGCAAAATACAGAGCTGTTGGTCCTTGGAATCCCAACTATTTGGGTAAGGTAAACTTGAGACCTTCACTGAGACTCTCTGGGAGGCTAAAGTATTCCCAGGCAAATAGTGCATCCAACAAAAGCAATAAATTAAAAATAACACATCACAACTAAATTAAATCATCCAAGGACTTCAATGATGATTTAGCATTAGATAAGTCTATAAATGTAATTTACCACATCAGCTTAAAGGAGAATCTCATGACATCTCAATAGTACAGAAAAGGTGTTTTAAAACTCAAGAGCCACTGTGTTGAAAATTCTTCCATTCCTAAGTGGAATGGAAAAAAATGTTCTTAACCTGATAGAAGTATCTACCAAAAAGCCCTCTTAATGTGTAGTGCAGTGAATTACTTGGTATGGCTTTTCTAGACAGAATCTTTGTGACTCCCACCAGATTACTGGGTGGGACCATGCAAAGAAGTTATATGGAACTCTGCTTTTGGAATTGGTTAGTTTTGTCACTATACCAGGCTTGAAATGAGCTTTCCTTGAGGCAGAAAGGGGGCTCTCACTGCCATCAAGAGAGAAGAAATGGAAGTGAAGGGCAGTCTATCCTTGGACCTGAGATCCCTGTGCTGGACCTCCTTGACAAAGAGACATCCTGCTGAGAGAAACACCTGGCTGAGAGAGAGAGACAGTGGAACCAAGAGACAAGAGACAGAGCAGGGGTCTTTTTGCCCCCAAAGCAAGAAACCTGAGTCCTCATGGGCAGGAGGCTTTTTGGCAGAGTAGGGTGCACCTTACTGTCGACAGAGGTAAAAAATCTTTGTTACACATTCTCAAGCAGGGTACAGGCCAGGCTAAGAGGCCAAGGGCCAAAAAGGTATGCCTAAGGGCATAGCAAATGGGATACTGTTTTTATCCAAGAATTGTATCCTGAGAGCATTCCTGAACCTGAATTATAATTTGTTACTTCCCTAATAAACCCCACAATCTTGGAGTATTGTCTGTGAGTGCTGTGTGGCCATTGCAACGAATTGTCAAACCCAGTAGAGCATTAATGAGTGCAATGGGAGGGATACCAAAACCAAACCAAACTCACTGCTATCAGGTTGATTCGACTCCTAGCGACCCCTCGTTGGATTTCAGAGGCAGTATCACTACAGAAGTAGATTGCACTATCTTCCTTCAGAGGAGTGGCTGGTGGGTTTGAACTGCCAGCCTTCTGGCTAGCAGTCAAATGGCCTTAGGCACTACAATGGTGTCAAAACTGGCAAAAAGATTTAGAGGGTGGTGGCATGTTTGTCTTCGTAGGAATAAGTCTTGGGCTGCTGATAGTGATTCTGTCTCAGCCTTGTGAAGTTAAAGGAGCTCAGAGGATGCTGATCCCATGTCCTTTTTGCAGTGAGCATTAGAAGAATTTTCTTTAAAAACAAGAACAAGATAAGGATGTTCACTGTGGTAGTTAATGTTGTGTGCCAGCTTCGCTGGACCATGGTTTTAAGTGGCTTGGTAGCTGAATATAGTTATTCCCCATGATGAGATTGTAATCACTTCCATGGTGAAATCTGCTGTGAGACATTAATCAGGGTAAAGGGTGCTGCCTTTGGGTGTGGTCTGCTTTCAGTATCTATGGAGAAGCTTTGAGAAAGGTCTAGAGGTTTTGGCACATTGGTATCCTGCATTTGGCTGAGTCTTCATCTCCAGTTTCTGGACTTGAATCAGTGGCCTGCCATGTTACCTGTCAATCTTGGGATTGTTCCCAGACTTGAACTAGTGGCCTGCCATGTTGCCTGTTGATGTTGGGACTGTGCAATTTTATCTGCTGACCTTGGGTTTGTTAACCTCAGTAGGAAGCAGCTGTCTGAATTAGGTGACACCTCTAGCTCCAGCTCCTAGAAGCAGAGCCAAAGCCCAAAGTCAAGAGGCCTTCACTCAAACCCTAGAGCCAGCACTCTGAATTTGGACTTGTAGCCTCCTAAACTATAAGAGAACAATTTCCTGTTTCTTAAGCCATCCACTTTTGGTATATATGTTATTGCAACACTAGAAGACCAATGCATTCACTATCACTAGTTCTATTAATTATGTACCAGAGATCAGTCAGAAAGATAAGAAAAATAAACTAGGAACATGATTACAAGGGTAAACAAAACTGCTTTTTCTTGAAAATTATAGTTTACATAAAAAACATGAATTTTCAGAAGAAATATTAGAAATAACAAGAGAGTTTAGAAAGAAAGTGGGCTCCAAGATCACTATATAAAAATTCTCTACCTCCATATATATCCCCAACAAACAGAAAACAAAATTTTAAAATGCCATTTATAACAACCAAAATTATAGAGCATCTAGGAACAAGTCTAGAAAAACATGTAGGCATTTATAACACTTCACTGAAAGA